ATGTCAAGTGGGAGTTGGCATACTTGGAGGCATTGGAACATCATCCTTGGCGGATCGTTGAAACACCCGAAACGGCAGACTTTATCATCATCCCCATTCCCATCAATTCCATTTCCGTGGCAGGAGACCCCAAGGTGGACATGCGAAACGCATTGGATGCACTCTATCAAGAAGAGCTGTTCCAAAAGTACCCCGAAAAGCATGTTTGGATGACCTTTTTGGAGTATGCCTTTGCTCCCCGAAAGAACGTCGATATCATGTCCGCCACCAGCCGCACGGATCCTTCCAAGAAGAAACAAAAGAAGAAGAAGAACAAGAAAGCTGCTGGAAAGGAAAAACCCGATGCTTCGGGAATATACCTTTCGGACTATCAGCGCCTGGAAAACATTACCACTGCCTTGGCCATTGACCATCATGCCTGGAATCACAAGGTGCCTTACCGTGTCAAAGAGGAACAAGGATGGACGTGTCAAACCATGCAAAAGGTATCCTGGGGGGAACCCATCACCCGACATTCCTGGTCCATGTCGCTGATGGGAGCCGCTACCGAACTCCAAAATTCCCTGGAACCCCTCACGGTGGAAGCATTCCGTAACAAGACATATCATTTCCTATACCATAGCCGAAGGACACCTTCCATGTGCAATTCTACTCCACATCGGCATGCACTACTACTCATGGATGAGAACAACAACACCCAAACCCGGGATGCAATCAAACAGCCCTCGTCCATTGGGTTTGATATCGAACCGTCCGAATGGCAACGCCGATTTGTCAATGTCCAGTACTGTCCGTGTGTGCGAGGGGACACGCCCTTTACACGCTGTGTCTTTCGGTCGATTCGAGCCGGTTGTGTTCCCATTGTTGTGAGTGACAGTTTGGAGGACTTTGCACCCATCTACAAGTCCGTGCTGCGACAGACAGACTACGCCGTGGTAGTGGAAGAAGCACGGTTTCTGGAGAATCCCGCTCAAGCACTCCATGACGCGACCCAAAGGATGACCGCGACGGAGGAACTGGAAACCTTGATCCACGGCATGAACTTGGTGAAACGAATGATTGTACCCAACTACCCCGACTCACTCTTTGTGGAAGCGTTTGCGCATGAAACTGTGGCAAGTCAACAGCAGGAATATTATGATTACAGGTAATCCGAAAGAAGTAACAACTTCTCATGGTTTGTTTGCATGGCTACCGTACCGGTACTGTACTCGTAATGTTTGAATGCACGAATGAAAAAGTTCATCACTATGCATACGTGCATGGTGATCCTAGCTACCGGTACGGTAGGCTACCTCTACCTCTACTCGTAATGAGCGCCCCAGCTGCATTTGTTTCAACTCGCTCCTGGAAAATAGTATCATAGCTACGATAAACTTTGCGAGCCATTGACTCCCATGTCGAATAGGAGCGTAGCACGATGGCAGAGTCGTGTGAATTTGGTGCCATTATTATTTGTCTGGTGCAGTGCTCCTGACCCTGCTCCTAGAGGAGAATGGCACCTTCCACGTCAGTTACTCACGTAGCACGAAGCGGTCCGTAGCAGAAGAAGAATTAAGCCAGCGGAGCTGTGTAACCTCGGCAGAAAGGTTTCAGTGTAGAAGCAGATACCCCTATTAGCTAGCTAGCTAGAAGCAGATACCTGTAGAGCTTAGCTAGCTAGTGCTTAACTTGCGCTTAGCTAGCTAGAAGCAGATCCCCTAGCTAGAAGCAGATTCCCATAGCAAGCTAGAAGCAGATACCCCAAGCTAGCTAGAATACTAGTTATATAGCTTTTGCTAGCTTTTTGTTTTTCCTGGTAGAAGCAGATCCCCCTACTAGGATGCATGTAAATAGCTTTAGCTGGTTTAAAAGCACCATCCTAGGATACTTATTTAGTTTTTGCTGACTTATTTGTATTCTAACCCTACCCTTATACCTGCAGGGACCACCGTAGCAGGAAAAACAATTAAAGGGGTTGAGGGCTCTGGCAGCAAGACTGCCGAGGTATTTATTTTGTACAGTACCAGCTTCTACCGTACTGCTCTGGAGCAGTAGAGCGGACGAATCGTGCTTCCAAGCAGTAGCCAGGGCAGTAGGGCTGGCGTTTGCTGACGTGGCTGTGTCTTTACCGGATCAATCAAAAGGTTCCAAGTGGAAGCTTCTAATCGACCGCAGCTTAACTCTACTAGAGCCCTGTGTGCACGACGAATGCGAAGGTCAAGTTGAGTGGATAGATTCTGATTCGGTTTTTTCAGGGTTCGTCTCCAGATTCGTTGGCTTATGTCAGGTTGCATGTTTCAGTAACGGTAACGGTAACCGGTATCGTTACCGAATCCGATACCCAAAACCGTAACGAGTACCGTATGGTATCAGTGTTGAAAGGCGGTAACGATTATCGGATGAGGCTACAAGGAGGAACGCGCATTGGTGAGTTTGTAACTAGTGGACGACAAGTTTGTTTTGTAATTGTTACGATGTTATTGCTAAATTTTTTGAATGTATCATTCCGTGTATCGAGTAAATCCCAGTTCTTGTTTGAATCATTTTGTATGTGTGTCCCGATGCAGTTCCTTTTGTTGTTTGGGTGACGGATGGATGATTTGTGTGCGCAAGGCAAGTAGGAAGAAGCCTAGTTATCTTTCTTTTCTTCCTCTTCATCGTTGGGCACAGCAGCCAATTTGGCCTTTTGTTCGAGGATCCAAGCGGTGAACTTCTGGAAGTCGACGGCGTCAAGATGCTCTTGCCCAAGTTTGTATTCCTCGATGATGTAGTTGGGAACGCTTCAAAGGGGCCAGACCGAGTAGAGTGTCGCCATGCTCTGCTTCAACAACTGTTCAACAGGCATCTTGGAACAGCAGGATAGGAACTGCTTGCAATCTTCGTCCTTGAAGATGTCACTCCAGTATTGAACCTCCTTGACGAGTGGTTCCGCGAACTCATACTTATATTTCTTTTGCTTGTATCGTGGAAGCTCGTTCACAGCAGGGACGAAGCGCCCTTCGAACCATTCCTTGAGCTCATTTGGGGTGGAATAACGTTTCGTGTTCTGCTCCCAGAATGTGAATGCCTTCAACTGATAACCCGTAGGCGACTTGATGAGTTCCATCTCACCATTCTCTCCGGTGCCAGAGAGAGGGAGCACACGGGGATTTTTCCCCTGGGGAAATCAAACGAATCAACTACGTTCGTCTCTACTTCCAGGTCGTTACCGTGGCAGACATTGCCACTGCCTGTGGCACCTTCATCCGCGAGGAATTTTGGCATGAGTTCTCCAGCCCTCTAATGCCCAGAACCACCAACTTCAAACGATTCCAAGAGCGGCCCAGGTGTGGCATCTCCTGGACACTCTGGAGGAAGGCACTGACTCTGCCTGTGCCCTAGTAGATAGATTCGGGCTCTCTCCAAGATTTGATAGTTGTCAGTACAGCTGGCTGTTAGCGTTCCGATCTTGCATCCAAGATCCAACGGCCATTTATTTCTCGGCATCCAGCCATCCAACAAGCAAGAGCCAAGTCCCTTGTCTAGTAGCTAGCCTTAGTACCGTATTCCATAATCCTTTGTCAACGACCTATTCCAACCCAGTCTATTATCCGTCCAGTTCATATAACACCAAGAAGAAGAAGATGCTGCTACTTCCCTTGAAATCCCCCGTGTACTATGACTTGCAAACCTCGTTGGGAAATTGGTTGGACAGTGATCAGGAAGTGTCCTTTCAGTCGAGTGGGAATGGAGATGATCCTCCCATGGTCCTCCCCAAGCCTCCCTTTACATCGCAGCAATGTCGCACGGAACTCTTGCGGTTGCATTCGTTACGGAAGTGTTTGAGCAATTCCATTTTAAAACCTCACTCGCACAAGGCCGCGTCGGAAGAAAATGCGCTCGAAGATAGTATGGAATACCACGCGGCCTTGCTGGAATTTGAACAACGGGGATTTCCCACACTGGACGATGAAAACAATGAATTGGAGTTGGTATGGAAGGCCGCCTTTTCGCCGCAAAAGGAAGGCCATCACACACTGGTGTGGGATCGAGCCTGTTGTTTGTGGAATATTGCCGCCTTGTATTCGCAAAAGATGCTCACACTGGCGGAGAATTACGCGGAAGAACGAGATGCCCAAAAACAAATCATTCAGTACTCACAAACCGCAGCGTCGTTATTGAATATTCTCGGTCAACTAGTGAACTCGGATGAGAATATGGACTTGGCCACGGTCGAAATGAGCAAACCCATGATTACCTTTTGGGAAAAATGGTTCTTGGCACAAGCCCAATCGACCATTCCCAAGATTGCCGATCAATCCAAACATTCCATTTTGGCCGCGTTGCATGCCAGTACACACCAACTATTCAATGAAGCACTGGCATGTGCGCAAGATCCTCGGTTGCAGTCCGAAGTACCACGGTTTGCCAAGGAATGGGGGGCCTACTGTAAAGCACAATCCATGCTTTCCTCGGCCAAGGCCGAATATCACATGGCATTGGCACACCGCACAACGCAACAATGGGGCCACGAATTGGCACGGCTCAAAACGTGTTGGCAAAAATTGCAAGAGGCGCACAAATTCTTGGAAGCCGCGTCGGAAGAACAGTCATTGATTGGGATTCGTCGACAAGTGGACACGTATTTGCCCTTTGTGGAAAATCGATACCAACAAGCTCATACGGACAATACCACGGTCTATCAAGATGAAGTGCCGGCATCACTGCCGGATGTGGAACCCAAACAATTGGCCAAACTGAATGGAGGAACCTTGCCAGAACCCATGACCAATCCCAAGGTCAAACTATTTGTCAACTTGTAGTAGATTGGACTACATATAGTAGAGAGAGAAAGAACAAAACAGGCAGGAACCTGGAAAACGGCTTTTGTGCGCGTGGAGGAATGAAATTGACTCTCTAGCTAGCTAGCGCGCTACTAGAAGCATGTGTAGATTGAATCAATCCACGAGTTATTGTTATCTACTACTTTTCTAGTCTAGTAGTGGAAAACCTTCTGCTGATTGCCTACTATACTACTGTGATTGTTGTTTTTGCTCTTTTTGCCTCTTGAGTTCTTCGCCCCATGTTCCCCGGTAAAAATTCATTTTGGCACGCCATAAATGATCCACAGTCTCATTGGTAGGAAGCACATAAGGGCTTCCAAGGATTGCATGCCAAAGCTGCTCCATGGCACAACACGGCCTTCGGGACATCTTTGGTCCAAGCTTTGCTGCATTGTATATACTAGTCTGTAATTGCTTGTATAACTCCACAGGTTTTGACCGGATTCGATCGGGAGATACCGCAAAGCAGGCTCCAGATCGGGTCATGCTGCTTGTGGCATTCACATCGGAGGTGGCATTTTCGTGGATCTTGAGATATGGCATTTGCATTGTGTCTAGCACCTGCCTGGCATAGTATCGGGTGTACCTGTTCCTGGCATTGACATTCAACAGCTGCAGGGACTTCGGGCCATAGTGGAGAAAATGCGAGCCATTCCATGTGGGAGAGTACTCCATGGTGGCATTGATGAGCTCTTGGATGGTCTTGAAGGGGGAATGCTGTTTACCATACTTTTTTCTTAGCCTCCCTCTCCCAAGCAGACCATCGGATTGGAAAAAGATATTGATGTCGGACAGATTGTCATACCTGTCAATCATAGTTTGTAGATATCCTGTACATTCTTCTGAGCCGGCATTTTTCCATGGACGTGAGAATCTGGGGGAGATCGTTTGGCCACAGGTTTCATAAATCACCAATTTCCAATGAGATGGAATTTCTTCGATCCAGCTCATTTGACTCCAGTCTTCCTCGCAGTGCACCACAGTCAATCCAACGGTAGGACCATCCGCCACAGTGGGACCATCCACCACAGTAGGGCCATGAGCGTATTCAAAATCAGTAATCTTATTGGCAAGCTCCGAATCTTTACTGGCCAGAGCCTCTTTGATGGCATGAGCCCATTTAGTCTCTTGTTCTGTCAAGTCCATGCTCATGATACTTTTGTATGGCACCACAGTTTGACCATCGACCACAGTAGGACCATCCACCACGGAACCTCGGACTGTCAGAGATCTTGCCATCGAGCTAATCTTAGTTTGCAGCAGCAGATGTTGTATATATTTCATGTTTGTCATGGAGGAAATGCACTGTAGAAATGTCAATGCAATGCCAAACCCCAGAAGAAGGACATTGTTCTGCCATCCACATCCCTTTGCCGTGAGCCGTCGTTCCCTTTTCCGTGCTTTTGCCCTACTGAGCTTGCTTCTTGCCGTGATGAGTTTTTGCATTTTGTTTAAAAGTTGTTCAATGGATGGATGGTATCTTCTAAAATATTCTACTATCTTTTACCAAAAACTTTGGAGTGAGATGTCAATCTTCTGACTTCTGACTGTCCTCGAGACTCGAGAGTAACAAGGTTTTTGCAAATAAATATTTTAATCTTTTATAAATGTGAGAAAAGCATGTCGTGGTTGATGTTTAGCGAAGGGGAAGTCATCAATTAGGGCAGATTGCCAGCCGAGCTAACTATGCACATAAAAGTAGTGAAGTTAATGGTGCCATCCCTTGTGTGCACAGGGTACTCAGCTACGGTACCGTAGTACATGTAGCTGGTAGCTTGAACCAAACAAATACCTGGCTATGGTACAGCACCGTACAATCAAATGGCTTTGGTGTGGGCTTGGCATGGGTATGGGTCGATCCCTGCACGTAGAGGTCTGCCTCTGTACCAAAGACTCGGCTCTGGATTAGGTGTGTGAGTCGTCAGCCACATCCATGTCTTCTCCCGTGAATTCCCAGATTGAAGGAGAGAATTCTTCCAAACCTCTCTGGAGGATTTCGCCAGGACTCTGTAGGTAGTATGCCGTAAGGGAGCCTTAGCCGGCCTCAGGAAGGCTCCTCACCGCCAAGGACTTGGCCAGCGCCCAGGTTGGGAGATCCCTGGTTGGTGGAGATCTCCCCTCTGCTAGGCTGTCAAGACCTGCTCTCGGAGCTACTCAAGAACCACTTTTCTGGAACGATGGAGGAGCGGATACTTGTATATTCATCTGCACCATCAAGAAAAGTAATGAATCTGAAGCAAATTCCTAGTCATTTCCCAATATTTGGCTAGTAGTGGTCAAGCTTGGTCGGCTGTTGGTTCCTGTGTAGAGGGCCAAAGGCCATACCGGTAGCTTATCTAGAAGGTCTTAGGCCGTCTACAACCGTGTGCATTACCAGCTACTACTAGCTAGAAGAATGCGTAGATTGAATCCACGAGTTGTTGCTGCCTAGTTCTTCGAGCTTGTTTGAACATCTTCCGAAAGACTGTGCCACAAGGACGTACGGCTATCATTAATTTTGCTTACATGTCGATCCTCGCAGTAAATGGAAGAATCCCAAAACATGGGAGCCCGTCGAGCCATACCATCAAACCTCCAAAGCCGAGAAGGCAGTCACAAAGGTACCGTAGTCACGAACGAAGGAGAGGAATGCCACCGATTCGATTCGCTCCTGGCTCTCCCTGCTGGTCCCCTCTTTGTAGCCGAGGATTCCTTTATGCGATGGTCATTTATTTGGGGAATCCAAATCACGACTGCCATCTAATGTATCGTCCTTTGCACTCGAAACAACGTCACCAACACTGCACATTCCAAGCAGCCAGAGATGATACCTTTGGCAACGCCCTCGCCCTGGTCATTCTCGTAGCGTAGTTTGTGCTGCTTGTGAATCGAGTCTTCTGCTCATTGCCTACCGGTACTACTAGCTAGTACTGTGATTGGATTGTTGTTGTTGCTGCTGCTCTTTTTGCCTCTTGAGTTCTTCCTCCCATCTTCCCTCATAAAAATTCATTTTGGCATCCCATAAATGATCCACAGTCTCATTGGTAGGAAGCACGTAGGGGCTTCCCAGGATGGCATGCCAAAGCTGCTCCAATGCGCAACATCGTGGTCGGGATTTCCGTGATCCACCCTCTTCAAATGCATCGTACAGGCTATCCCGCAATTGCTTGTATAACTCCACAGGCTTTGCCCTGATTCGATCGGGAGATACCGCAAAGCAGGCTCCCGATCGGGTCATACTGGAAGTGGCATTCAAAGCGGTGTTATTCTCGTGAATTTTGAGATAGGGCATTTGCATCGTGTCTAGCACCTCTCTGGCATTGTAGTCAATGTAGTTCTCCTTGGAATTGACATTCAAAATCCGGAGGAACTTGGGGCCATAATGGAGAAAATGAGATTCATTCCACGAAGGAGAGTACTCCATGGTGGCATTGATGAGCTCTTGAATGGTCTTGAAGGGAGAATGCTCAATGGTATAAAACTTTTGTGGCCTCCCTCGTCCCAGCAGACCATCGGATTGGAAAAAGATGTTAATGTCAGGCAGATTGTCGTACTGGTCAATCATAGTCTGTAGATATCCCGTGCATTCTTCGGGGCCGGCATTTTTCCAGGGACGTGAGAATGCCTTGGATATGGTTTGGCCACAAGTTTCGTAAATCACCAATTTCCAATGAGAGGGAATTTCGTCGAGCCAGCTCATGCGACTCCAGTCTTCATTGCAATGGACCACCGTCAATCCAACAGTAGGACCATTCGCAACGGCGGGACCTCCTCGGAATGTCAGAGATCGGGCAATGGAGCGACGTAGATCTTGTAGATTTGAAACGTCCGCCATGTAGGAAACGCACTGTAGAAACATCGATGCCACGCCAAACCCCAAAAGAAGGAGGCGTCTCCGCTTGGAGCATCCCTCTCCCGTGAGCCGTGGCTCCTGTTTCCGTGTGGCTTTTGCGAGCTTGTTTCTTGCGGTGATGAGTTTTGGCATTTTACTGAATAATATGCTTGTTGCAATTAAAACCTCGTTGGATGGATGGATAGATGGATGGATGGAATCAGTCAAAAAGAAATAATGAGGAGCTTTCAATAGTCTACTACTGTACGGAAACTTTTGGAGCGAGATGTAATGCTTCTGACTGCTATTGTCCATGACAAAAAAAAAGCAGAGCGCATCTCTCGCTGTGTTTTGCTTCGGTTGGATGGCCTGGCATGCACAGAGACCACGTGAAGTTGTTGTTGTTGTTGATCGTGCAGCTTCCGGGCCTGTGCTTTGTTTCAGTTGGATGTGGAGGTTATTGGAGACCACGTCCGTCGTGAGTTGGGCGAAATAGGGTCATCGATGAGGTCATAAATATGACCACTTTTGGAACGGGCCCGGGTCGCTCGTTAACCCTTTTATTTATATC